GCAGATACTGTGGTTGGTAGATAAAAGGATGATTGACATTTGGCTCTCAGCGGCCATACTTACTGTACGTGACCATAGGCGAATCAATCTGCTACGGCCACTTCATTTCTAGGATAAGCGCAGCACCAAGTGCACACAGTTAGGTAAATTAGGGTTCCTCACGTATATTCCTGTGCGCCCCGCAGAAACCCAACAGTCCGCAGCTAGTGTAGCGCGTGTTTCCAGCCTCCGCAAGCGGGCGCGCGAACGGCGGGCACCGGGCGGCCCAGCACCGCCTCCCCAGGCTAGGGAGGGGCGGCCGGAGGCGGTGCGGGCGAGCGGAGCGCTGTGGGGCCTGGAAGGGCGGAGCGCATCTGCGCCCCAACCCATCCCCCTATTAGTACAGCCCCACTCACACTCTTACTGCCCCGCGAACGTGCTGCAAAGACGCACACGTCGTTTTTTCCGTTTTGCACTGAGACCACAGCACCGCGCTTCCCGCCGCCGCTCGGGAGCGTGCCCGTCAGCTCGGACACATTCTCGCCAGTCCGGGCCGGGAACAAGAACACCGAGGACCAGCGCCCCCAGCTGCGCCCAGCCGCGCGCCCTGCCACCCGCGGGCCACATGCTCCGAAGACCCCGCCCACCGCACTCGCGGGCTGTTTCCGGCGATGCCTGTCCGAAGAGCACGAGACGCATGCTCCGCCCTGCCTCCCTTGCCCTGGGCCCTGGCGCTCCTCGGCTCAAGACGCGGCGGGTGGCGCCTCAGGCAGTGCAGCGAACAGCCCTCCTGCTTACGCGCCGCAGGCTTGGAGGACCCCAGCGACGTCCGTAGCGTGGGGCCCGGAGGACTCGGAGGCGGTGTCGCAACGGCCTGCTGGTTCCCGGCAGGGTGCGTTTCGCTTGCTCGGTGGCCGTAGGGGCTGGTCGTTGTGCGGCCGTCGCCATGTCTGTGAGCGAGATCTTCGTGGAGCTGCAGGGCTTCTTGGCCGCCGAGCAGGACATCCGAGAGGCGAGCGCCGTCCCCCACCCCTTCCTTCCTCGGCCCTCCGCCGTCCCTCGCCCGCGGGCGGCGGGAAGCCTGCGGGGTGGGTCGCTTCCCCTCCGGGTCCGCCGAGGGCCGACCCTGCCCCGCCCCGCCCCGCCCAGCTGCCGGCTCGCGACCCCAAGTTCGGGTCTCGGCAGCTCGGCCTCCTGAGTGTCCCTCTTCCTCCTTTACACACCTGCTCCCGTCGCAGGCTCCGTTGGCCTTGTGGACAGAGAACGCACGTTGCGTGCGTGTGTTGCGGGTGTCTTAGAAGCGCGTGTGGCCTCTAAAACTCCGGTGGCTTCTATTCCACATAAAAACCTAGACTCTGTTGCGGCCCACAGCATTCTCTCTCCAGACGCATTTTACGCCACTTTCGGTTGTGTATTATGTTCAGTTTAACTGCCCTTCGTTCCTCTAGTTCCTCAGGTAGTTTTCTATTTCGGCATTTTGCACGTGAGGTTTGTTTTTCTTGGAATTCGCATCTTTCCCCTCTTGGTTATCTCATATTCATCTTGACCTCACAGCCGAAATGTTCTTCCTCTGCCATGTTTCCTAGTAGTGCATTAGCATTTTAAAAAGCTGTGCGATTCTTGTTTTTTAAACTTACCCCCATTGTGCTAATTGTCTTCCCAGTATGGGCACAGTACCTAGCGCCTAAATGTGCCCAGTGAATATTTGTAAAATGAATGAATGAAAAATACTCAACACTCATATTATGTTTCACTTTTATTTTTATATTACAATTCTTAATATTTATACTGTTTTAGTGGGATATTTTGGGTTTATGGGTGGCTATTATCATTCAAGGCTAGAGTGGAAAAACAGGATTTAAACCTTGATCATTTTGCACCAGTTCAGGCATTCTAAAGATTGTTAGTGTTTTGAATGTACGTGGTGGTGTCCAAGATCACATATGCTGTATGGTTTGTGACTAATAATAATGTTTATCTGATATTTTAATTGTCTTTAGGAAATCCGAAAAGTTGTACAGAGTTTAGAACAAACAGCTCGAGAGATTTTAACGCTACTGCAAGGGGTCCATCAGGGTGCTGGATTTCAGGACAGTAAGTTCTTATTTTGATTTGGAAGGTTTTTGTTCACTTTATCAATCTCCCATTTAAAGAGTTAATTTCCACCCAGAAGACATTTGAAGTCTATATTTTTTAAAGTCCCTCGTGGTTTATGGTGAGTAAAAATTTGAGAAGTAGGTGAGATGATCATTTTATATGTTTATAGAATTCTGTGTTTGATTTTCTGCTTTAACATGGTATGGTTTAAGTAGGAATTTTTTATCTTTATGAACGTCTGCTGATAATTGTGGTAGTTTCACAGCTCTCCTATATTAGCAATTTTTGATTTTTTTAAACCCAACTTTTCAGTCTTTGAATATAACAATATGCATTTGTAGGTACAAAATGGTCAGTGCAAAATGTTCTCAGTGAGTTCACATTACAGTCAGCCCCTCGAGTGGGGATCATATATGATAAGCTTAGATATGGAATCTCCATTGTAGATGTTGCCAGCACAACTGAAAGAGCTGAAACATATTTTTATGGAGAAAATAATATGTAATTTACAGGTGTCAGAAATCATTTTTCCTACTGATACAGAATTGGTCCATTTGATTGAGAATAACTGATCAAACTTTGTGACCAAATATGAGAGGTAGTGAGGTCCAATCTTAGGCATCTGAGGATTGGGGATAGCAGCTGGTGTATAGCCAGCCCCTTAAGGATGAGGTCATTTATGACCGCTGTCTGGCATGTGTCCTAACCTTCCCTTTTGTATTTTTCAGTATTGGTTAAACAGTAGGAGAACAAGAGATGAAATTTTGAGAGCCATGTTGAAAAGCAGAGATGCATGCCCTACTTTTGGTCGTGAAATTTGAAAAAGGTTATTTCTGGGTAGTCGCATAGTTTATTAAATAAGAACTGTATTTAAAATTTGGTGAGTCTTTCATTATCACATTTGTCTTTTTGTGATCAGTTCCAAAAAGGTGTTTGAAAGCTCGAGAACATTTTGGTACAGTAAAAACACACCTAACATCTTTGAAGACCAAATTCCCTGCTGAACAGTACTACAGGTTTGTAAGAAAAGCAGAATTGTTTTATAACTTTAACAAAAGGAAGGACAAAAATGATGGGTACTGGTAAAAATACTCCTGGACAGAATAAACAACACAAAGAAGACAGTGATGGTGGCAAAATGTGTGATTTTTTTTTTCTTTTGCAAAATTTTTGTAAGAAACATAATCGTGCAATGAAAAAGTAAGACGATATCCATTGTATGAAGGTCAAATAGAGAATAATAGTATATTTAAGTTACTTGTGAAATTGGGTGAATTATGTCTATGTTACTAAGATTATGGGATCAGGTGGCAGTATATATAAAGAGTTGAGTTTTGCATTTTAAAGCTTGAATTTCATTGCCAGGTAACATATTTAGCTAATATTTTGTGCCATGTCTTGTTGAATCTACAACTCCATTAATTTTAAGAAACATCTGTATTTATGTACCATTAGGGAAAAAAACCTGTCAGTCATAACTGTGAAACATGGATTGTAAAATTCATCCTGATTTCACAGATACAAAAATTGGAAAAACTACAAAGTAAATAAGAACCTGAAGTCTCTCCTTTACATTTGTTTTCTTACTGAAAAAGATACTCTTAAGAAATGGAGATGGCTAGTAGGTAGGACATGTCTGTGGGGCATGGGTAGTACAACCTCAGGATTGTTTAAGGCAGGGGTGGTCAAACTACTGTGGACTGCTGCCTCCAGAAGCTGTGACCTGCTGGTGTATTTTAAAGAGTTGTGAAAAAAAAAGAGGAACAACTGAATAAGAATCTGTGACAGACTGAAAGTGATCTTCAAAATCTGAAGTAATCTGGCCCTTCACAGGGGAAAGGGTATCACTTTACCCTGCTGTGAGGGGAGGATAGAAGCAGAGAGAAATAGGACAGGAGGTCGGCAGGGTCTTCAGAAACCATATAGTTGGAGATCACACACAGGCTGTCCCTGGCTGGTTTGGTCCTCATCGTTTTTTTTTTTGACCTGCACTCTATTGAAAATTTGTTTTAAGTTTGTTGCTATATTTGAAAATCAGGAGGCATAGCATAAATATCTAGTGGTTGTAAAATTTCCTCCGTTTCAGGCTTCCAGCTTCCTTTAACAGCAGTATCCTGAGATTTTTAAGTCCATCTGTTGCAAACGGTAGTTCCTGATTACATTTGTGAATTGGTATTTTCTTGATAATTTATACCCAAATTGCAGTGTAGGCGTTGTTAGGTGTGAGGCTGATGGACGATTGCAGCCTCCAGTCTTCAATTGCTGCTTTCATTTTTGTCAGAGCAGAGTCATTGTTCTTCCTGATTAAACTTCAGTTTGCTCATCATCTATATTTTTTAATTTTTATACTCATTCTAATTCTCTAGATTTTTGTGTTCAACAAAATTGGATCATACCTCATTTATTAAACATAAGTAATAGTTGTAAGTTTGAACCTGCAAAAGTTACACTGAATTCACCTAATATAGTTAAGTGACATGTTGATCTTATGCGTTTTATATGTTGAGGATTCACAATAAGAATTTATTTGGGAAGGTTTTCCGTTCTTAAAATGTCTGAATTTGACTGCTTTAAGCCTGTGTTTAAGGCTCCCCCGCCCTCCACCTAAACGTGCTTCCACTCACACAGGTTTCACGAGCACTGGCGGTTTGTGCTACAGCGTCTGGTTTTCTTGGCAGCGTTTGTTGTGTACTTGGAATCAGAAACACTAGTGACTCGAGAAGCAGTTACAGAAATTCTTGGCAGTAAGTGTCTTAATCGGTGTTCATCTGCAGAATCAGGCATGGTAGCTTAATTTTTGGTGGGAGGTGCTACCGCTTGCACTTTTCTGTTTATTAATACAAATGAAAACTAAATGGAAATCCAGTTACTTGGAAACACAAAAACTAAAAATATTTAGTGTCTTGCTCTTTGTAGTTGGATGTTTATTTTGGTTTTTAAAAATTTTAAGGGAAGTTGAAAGAATAGTTCAGTGAACACCTGTTTACACCCAGCTTAGATTCTCTGCTTGTTACATTTTGACACATCTGCTGTTCTCCACTGTGTGTGCACGTGGAAGGCTGTATATATAGTTTCTCCCTTGAATGCTTCAGCATATGTCTTCTAAAAGCAGTGATGCTCTCTGACATAACTGGATACCATTCTTGGTGATACTATTCTTTGAGGGAAGAATGGAAGGGATAACTGAGGTTTCCTCAAGAGCTTGAAAAATCCACATGAGGTCTAGTTGCCAGGAGTATGAACACACTAAAAAAAGACAGTTTAAAAGATTCATCCCTTTTCACTTTGATGGAAATTACATGTGTGAGTATGTGTGTATTTTACCTTCTTGGGATTAAATGTCTCTCACATTATGACTTTTCTTTTGTTACATTTTTAGTTGAGCCAGATCGGGAGAAAGGATTTCATCTGGATGTAGAAGATTATCTTTCAGGAGTTCTAATTCTTGCTAGCGAACTGGTAAGAAGCTTAGTAATTTTCCCCTTGCTTTTTTGATCTTCCCTCTTCACTATGTTTTTAAATGGGTACAAAGTTCAGGAAGTCTTGTTCTTTTCCAAGCCGACGGTGTGTCACCAGGTAGTCATTAACTGCGCTGTGCTAGGTTTTGCTAGTCATCATGGCGATGCCAGCTCAATGGTGAGGCAGCTACGCTTATTTACTGTTGAGTTCTTAGAATGACAGTACCTTTTCCTTTTAAAGTACTTGCAAGACATACATTCCTGGTTAACGTGTTTAATGGTTTTGGAGAACAATTTAATTATGTAACTGTGTAAGTTATTCTTGTCTTTATCCTTTTAATCTCTTTCTGAGAAATTGTCCTACAAAAGTAATTCAGAAGAAGAAAAGGTGCTGTTACAAAGGTGTTTACTCTAGCCTCATTGTGTACTTAATTATAGACCCCAGAAACTCTAACAAAAGGGGAATGATTTCTTAAGTCACTAAGTAGGTTAGTTGTAAGGACAGAATGGAAGGGGCGTGTGGCCTGGGGTCTGGGTGCAGTTTGGGTGGGTTGTGAGCATTGCCGTCTCTCGTAGTCGAGGCTGTCCGTCAACAGTGTGACTGCTGGAGACTACTCGCGTCCCCTTCACATCTCCACCTTCATCAACGAGCTCGATTCCGGTTTCCGCCTCCTTAATCTCAAAAACGACTCCCTGAGGAAGCGCTACGATGGCCTGAAGTACGACGTGAAGAAGGTTGAGGAGGTGGTCTATGACCTCTCCATCCGCGGCTTCAATAAGGACACAGTGGCTGCCTGCGGAGAGAAGTAGGTGGCCCTTGGTGCTCCCGGCTGCCGACCCCCAGGACTCCCAGTGAGGGCGAGCGTGCCCTCACACTAACCAGGATTGCTCTGTTGCTGCACACTGCTGTTTCTTGTGTGGTGTGAGTTTCAGAATGGAAGCACTTCCTGGGGGTGAAAGAATAGCCTTTACAAGGACAGCCGTTTCTTTGTTGTTTTAGTGAATTTGCTCTGTAATGAGTGTATTTCAGTTTTGTCAGAAATCGTAAATGTCATTCCCTTGCTACCCTGATGCTGTTGATACCCCGACTGAGAAGCTGTCCTGTGTGATTCTCCCTGAAGTGACTGATCCATCCACGCCCAGGGTAGCCTGGGTGCCCTCTGAAAACGGATAATTCAAAAGGATGGAAGCCAAGCAGAGGACAGTTTATTTTCTGTATCTTATTTTAAGCCTTGTGAATAAATGAGATGTTGAAATTTTTTGCAAGGGTGTTAACAGCTCCAGGTTCTCTGTCACTGCCATCAAAGTATAAAAGATTAAATTGCAGTCAAATTCAACAAATGCATGGGAAGTTTTTGTATTAAGGGGTTGAGTAACATTTTACCATTTGTCTCTGACAGGTTGGGAGTGGTGCGTAGTGTTTCAAACACCTCTGTTTTCTGATGTTGCCTTAACATTCCGCTGTTGTCTCAGACACATTGAGAACCAGCACTTCATATGCTATGTTTGTAGGCTATGAAACCTTTTCCCAGCAGCCAGTTAGACCTTGTGGTCTGGGAGTATAAAGCCACCCAGTCAGGTTAATTAGCACCATGACTGGTGTGTTTTAAGAGAGAAGTGCTATGCTGTGCTTTGTCCTGAAGAGAAAGCCCTTGGATTAAATAAAAAAGAAACATGACAAGCTGATTGGTAATGTTTTCAGAGCAGGCCGTTTCAGGTTCTTGATGGCTGTTCCAACAGTCAGATTTTAGATTCACTGTTTTGGGCGAGTCACATAAACTTGTTGACACCTCTGCCCCAAACTTCCAGGTTGTGCTAAGAGTGTTTGCCATGTAAATTCTGTTGAGTTGAAATGATTTAAATCCGCACTTCTGGGAGTCTCAGTGAAAGAAAGTTGTGGGTGTTTCCAGAATAATAGGAAGAATTTAGAAGTCGTTCCCCTCATGCACGGTACCAGTCTGGGCTTCCTGTTTGTGCAGTGGAACTGGCATTGCTGTCAGAGCTGTAATCAGGCTGAGTGAGGTCTGACCAAATTTCCCATAATGATAAAGTAGAAATGAGGAATAAATTGCCATGCATTGTTGGATTTTAGAACAACTCTCTTGGTGGTTCTTTGTGCAGAAGAGTTTGTAGAAAGAAAATAGGTATCAGGGTCTTTGAACTGCCTGGATCGCCATCTGTGGTGCACAGGGAGAGCCCTGCTGGATCAAGCATAGGAGGCTGATGCCACCATTCAACATATGCGGTGAGTCTGTTAATAATTTCCCTTGCCTCTTTAAACGTTGGTTTACCTTGGGAATCTTAAAGTTCTTGGCAGAAGTTGTGGATTTCAGTCTTCACAAGTGCAGTGTGAGTGGAGGAGCACATTCTGGTCTTTGGGCTCCGTGTTGGAAGTGTCATGTTCATAGCTGTTTAGTTGTGTTTGTATTTGAACCTTGCTGTACTGCCATGGGAGACCTCCTCTACTTGGAGAATAAATTCTGAATGTGTTTTTTTGAGGCTGAATAAGCACATACCACTGTGTAAGAGTTAAAGGAATCAGCCATGAATAGTTCTTTACTGGAAAGTGCAGGTAACATCTGTGATCTGCCTTGACTGGGAAATCAAAAGTATTTTAACTGAAGATGTTGAGAAGCCTTGGCTCTGGTTTTAGTGTAGTAGAATTGTGTTTTTTTACTTTTTTACTTTTCTTTATTAAGGTATCATTGATATACACTCTTATGAAGGTTTCACATGGAAAACATTGTGGTTAACTACATTCACCCATATTATCATAGAATTGTTTTTAAATTTCAGAAAATCAAGCAGGTTAGAGAAAACAGATGAATTAGTGGATGCTTCCTTTATAAATTTATAAGAAAAGGAGAACCCCATAAATACTTGATAAGATTTGCTGTCTTAAAGTTGAATAATACAAGTAATGTTTAAGAGAATTTAATAAAGCATGAAAGCTTCTTTGGTAGTGTCTTGAGACCTTAAACAAGTAGGTGAAGAGATGAGATGAATATGCAGGTTGCTGCTGGCATAGTTTCATAATTGTGTACTCAGAAATCACAGCTTTCTTGTTTCTTGGTCTGGACTGAACCATACTCTTCAGGCAGGGCACTGTCATGCCTGACACCAAAATGAGACTCCCTGAGCCTGAGATACTGTTTTTTTTTTAGTATTCACTGAAATGAGCATTAAACAAATAAAAATAAACAATTTTCCCTCCCCCCAAACAAAAACGCAAACGTGAGAGAGGTGGAATGGGCTAGCCTTGCTGGTTGGTGAGGATGGAGGAGCCTCACCTAACTTAAGGCTCCGTGTGACTAGGTGCTTCAAGGCACTGTTAACCCAGGGCAGGGGTGGGGAGCTGTGGGCAGAGGTGCACGTCTGGCCTGGGCTGGCCAGATGGTGCCTTTGCTAATGGGGCTGTTGAATATTGTCCAGCAGCTCAACAGGGCAGTCCAGTGGGACTTGGGAGCCAGCCTGGAGTGGCTTTGTGTTGCTTTAGCATGTATATGGTCGGTGAATTAGAGTGTGTGAGACTCCCTGGAGAGCATGTATGCTGAGAGTAATGACGCAGGGGCAAAACTGGTTACCAGTGGGGTTTAGTGAGCTGGGCAGAGGACGTAGAGCCCTTGAGGAAATGGAGAAATGGTTATAGAGGTGGACAGGACGGGGAGAGTGGCTTGTTACAGAAGCCAGGGGATTAAAGAGTCTTCAGAAGGATTTTTTGGGTGAGGGATTTAAAACACATTAATTTTACAGCCTTAGAGCATTGTGACTTTGTCAGGCTAGGCTGGGTTATACTGTGGTAACAACCCCCAAATTCCTAAGCATAGAGGCTTATTTCTCTCTCTCACTCCCTGTCCTCTGAAGGTTAGCTGAGGGATGTGCTCTGTGCTGTCCTCATCTAGCTGACAGGAGCCACCCGTGGACCACTGCTAGCTGCTGTGGGAGGAGGGGGGTGCTGTGGAGGGTGTTGCACAAATGCAGGCTCTGGTTTGGAAGTGACGTGTCACTTTCTCTCATAGTGTGTTGATCAGGTGGAACACATGGCCCTGCTAAGCCCTACTGGGGCCAGAAAGTGAAATTGCACCTTGTATGGTGACTCAGAAGATGGAGTCAGACAAGCTGAACGCTGCAGGTTCTGGGCAGTGTTGAGTTTCTTCTGTTAAGTGATCAGTAGCAGAATTTCTGGTCTCTGGGCTTGGGAGGGAAAAAAGATGTCCCAGGGCTACTGTTGTCTGTGGATGGTAAGAGGCGGTGGATCCATCTGTAGTCCCCCTGTGGGGGAGTGTGTCTCCTGTTTGTAGGTGTTTTGTAAGCCACAGTCAGTGAGCTCTTACATGTTCCAAGCAGTGGGTTGACCATTTTGCCCAGATGTCTCTTCTCACCCTCATCGCCCATGTGGTAGCTACCACTGCTGACCACACTAGGCCTGGGGGACAAGCTTAGTGAGGCAGTGAGTTTGTCCTGGGTTCACGGTTGTGAAGTGGAGGGGGAGCTGTTCAAAGGCAGTTAGTTACTCTGCCTCAGCGCCAAGACACCATTTCTGCCTTGATGCCGCTGATGGCTTCACTCCATAGCCTGACCAAACATCACGCTCACATTACAGT